TTGTAAACTGATTTAGTGCACTTACCCCTTCTACAGAATCCTAGCCAGTGATCATGGCTGTGTCAGTTAGAATAGTTTGCAAGAGCACAAGTTTAAAAATAAGGCTGTAAAGGCAGACTAGTGAGGAGACTAGTGATGACGATTGACATCCCAGAGAGTCTCTCTAATCTCATTTAACCACTTGTTAGCAGCTGCCTTTTTAAAGACATGTAAAAACATTAGTGGGGCATTTACAGGTAACAACCATTTGAATATAAGAAACTAGCTCTTCTGCTCTACGTTTCTCTCATTTAAATGGGATGATCTGAACCGTAGCCATTGGATCCAGTGTCCTGCTTTTTTCCTGATACACAGGGGGCCCATATGTTTGGAACTTTGCTCAGGAACTCGGATTTCTTCAACAATATTGAAATGATGGATGGCAGCAGCAGAGAGGGTTAAAGTAATGGAGTGGTTTTGTTACCATGTGGGGATGAATAAACAAGATGAGCAACATGGTTTCCTGGCAGTGGAGGATGGGAGGTCTCTTTTTATGGATACGCCGTAGTCTCCAGAAAAATCACAATTCTTCCTGGTCATAGTTAAATTTTTTTCAAATAAAATTTGAGGAAAAGGTATTCACTCTTGGCCAGTGGCTGAATCTATAGTCAGTGGAATTTTTGTTCATTCTAAATTCTAGAATAGGTTCCAAGAAAATTAGCCTATGCACATCTAAAGCCTACAGTACAGAACTGACGGTATGGGGCTTTTTTCATTGATAGCTGGGAACTGCATATTGTTTCTCAGAACATAAAACAGCCAACCTGCAGCACATTACTGTGGCTCTTGGCCAGACATTATGTGGATATATGTCCTATTGAAAAACTTTATATTCTGGTAGAGAACTGTAGTTTTGTAGACACTGCATAGGGCTCAGTGAGCTGAAGTGGCCTCAAGCACCCCGGAGGGCTCACCAAAGCCATCTAAAAGTATATTATGTGACTTATGGGCTGCAGGCTTCATTGCAATATACACTAATCAAACGATCGGTTTAGGCTTGGGGACCCTGGTAGAAAAAAGAAAATATAGTCAGGCATGCAAGATTGTTTGTCTCTAGGGCATAGGTATTGTTAAACCCCTTTTACTGAGGCACGTGCCCCAGTAAAATCACATGTTCAAGTTTTAACAAGCTCCTATATTTGGCAGTGGATTAATTTAGATCGATAATAACAGGAAAATAGTTGATGTGTTCTAATCCAGAATGCCAAAGTAAAATACAAGCTGAGGTGCAGTGGTCAGGGGTCATACACCTTGGTGCACACACAAACACTGACATATGACACCCATGATGTACAGTGTAGCTCTGCACTGCAGCGCACGTGCACCAATTCATGTAATGCAATTTGTCTATGGAAAGGGCTCTGTGTGATGGAGACAAAGTTAAGTTTTTGAACAATACCGATGATCTCAGACATCACTGCCTCATGTAGATGGACATAAGAATATGATAACTTTGGACTGTTCATTTAGAATTTAAGGAATATAACATAATACTTAATGCTCTTGTCACACAGGCCAATTGATGTTTGTTTTATGCACATTTAATAAACAAACCTTAGGCAGCAAGGGAAAGTGTGGAGAAAGCTGTCTGTGTCAGGTGTGTGACCACCAGCCATCCACCGTACAATACAGCTTTGAAGTAGTTGGAGCATTGGTATATTTTAGGGGCTTATGAGTTACAAAAAATGATTATACATATACTTCACTTTGAACCTCAACATCCTGAATAGCACAATAGTTGGTATTCTGGGTTCATGGTTGGTAGGAGGAAAGTAGCGAGTCAAGAGAAATTTAACCTGAACAGGAGTAGAGAGACCAAACCAAGAAAAGTTTTGAGATTGCCAATCTATCCTTTAACAATGAATCCCCTTTTTTGGTGTGACAGGTGTGATTCCACCTGCCTCCCACTTGTACTGCAGATATCATGACCCATGCCAACTGCTGTCACAACACCACTGATTGCTCTGTGACAGCACTCGGCACTGCCTGCACCAACACACACATACCCACAGTTCTTCAGTGATCTGCAGCTTCGCCTCGCCCAGGTACCGACCTTGCCACCGGTCTGTGTTACAGAAGGCTGTGTCACCGCTCACACATACCAAATGTGTTCCTTCACCCCCAGTCTGTCTCTGAAGTCGATGTGGCTGCCACTGCCTTCAAAGCTGAATGGCTGAAGAGGGGACAAGAAGGCGTTAGAAACCTTTACATGTTGACATGACACTCTCCAAACCGTTTCGAGACCAGTTACACACTAGAGACAAACAGAGGGAACATCCTGTTGTTGTTCTTTTAGAAGCACCGAGATGGTGTGTTTACTGTAGGTGTTAGGATATAAAAGAAGTTAAACTAGATATTTTTTTTAACATCTGAGTGGTTCACAAATTTTAGCAGAATATATCAGTCTTAACAGTATATGTCATAGCACACACCACAGCAGAAACAATGTGTAAGTTGTAGCTGTTGAAGTGAAATTAGACGCAAAAGCTGAGTGCATAAGACCAATTAGCATCATCGCACCTAGTCTGTCTGACACATTTATCCCGTAATCTTCACTCTGCTTGTACGGTATGTGTGTACGCACACGTGCATCTGCTGTTTAGTAACAAGATAAAAATTGACAGTGGAAATAGCGAGCTAGTTTAACAGCTCTTTGTAAGTGAATACAGATAAATGCAGTTTTAATTAGCAGCATCTCACACCAAAGACCTGCAGCTAATGTACAGTGTGTCATATCCTTAGAGTAGGCACTGTCTTAATTTAAAATGACCACAAGTGGAGAGAGCTCCCTCACAGTAGAGCAAGGTGTCTTCAAGCCAATTTTCTTTGTCTCCCTCATGGCCTGTACACCGTAACACATCCCCTGTTCCACAGAGAATTTTCACTACTGCAGTGGAAGCTAAGATTGACTTGCTCTAAACAGACTGAGAAATTGCCTGGCGGGTTGATATGTATTGCATGTTCCTTTTTCAAGTACAAGAGGAAGCTGTCAGAGGCTTTTATGGTGCATGCAGTGAGTCTGTATACTGCAGTCATCCCAGTGAGACAAACCGAAGGAATGCCTGGCACAGTGAACTCAGGGGCATCTTTCAGAGGAATTTTTTTCATTCAGCGGGGATGTGACATGCAGAGCCTCCCAGCACTACTCTGTAATGTGCACATGAATTAATCAATGTACAACAAGATATTTGGCATTTTCAGTGGTTTTGTGTTATGTTCTGCTGTCTCAGAACCAAAAGAAAAAGTCAGCAGCCTTTTTTACACTACGATATCCTTTTCCTACCTTGAAGACTCAAGCCATTGAAGCCAGAGTGCTGTTTAAAACACCTTTCAGACTCACATAGAGACCTGGGATTAACATGTCAGTCTGAACAGGTCATCAAGGCTCTTCTAACCTGACTTCATGATTTGGCTTAAATCTTTGACCAGTTAATTTTCTAATCCCTATCAAATTTTTAAGACACTAAATTACTTACAGAACACAGTATATGTTATAGGACAGCGGGTCTAATGTAACCTGGAACTGCTAGTCAGAGATGCCATTTTGGTGACAGCAGGTCGAGTGCCACACAGATGCTCCTCACCGGCACAGACAGATGGGCAGATGGTTTTAGAGGCCAGTGCTTCCAAAACCCAAGACAACTCAGGGAGAAATAGTGCCACAGTGCACTCTTTACCTCTGCATGTGTTCCCGCTCCTCTGTGCAAACACCATTATGCATCTTTCTTGCTGTGACCCTCTTTGGACTTTTATCTTCTTCAGCTGACCCGCTGCTCCAACTTGTCTCCCTGCCTCTGTGTTTCTCTTTTTCTAAATGCAGAGTTCTCTCTGTAAGTGGTCAAGGTCGCTTTTATTGACCTTGACCTTGAAGTAATTGATTTCTGTTTTCTATCCAGTGCTCTTGCAGTTGTTGAATCAAGAGAGATCTTGGCCACAGACTGCTTCCCTATTGGGAAAATCAAAGTTGGGACTATTTATGTGGAGGGGAATTGTTTAGAATGATAAATATTGGTGTGAAATGCCTGATGAAAAGGAAGTTACACTTGATATTCAGTTTTTGGTATCTCCTGTGTTGTATATAAATATCTACATATGTTACATAAATGTTTCACATTCACTTTGAGCATCCCTGTGAATAGTTCTTGGAGCCCTTTTCAGAAAAGGAAAATACTCTGAGAACATGTTTACTGGTTTTTAGTGTCTTCAGGACCTTTGTGGTAACAGATTTTGCTTTAGATATCAATATTGAAAGAATAGAAACAGATGTTCCTGAGGTCAGAGTCACTTCTTCTTGATTTTAGATTACTGTATTGTTATTCTTTAGCTGCATGCCATTCCAAGTAATTAACATCTGATGAAAGAAAATAAAAACATTAGTTAAGGAGATGCAACAAATGTGGCAGTGACACTGTACAAACTAAAGGCCCATACACATAAAACATGACATCATCTCCTATATAAATGAAAATTACACTGGGTTCCACTCAAGAAGGCTCAGAAAATGTCAGCTGTTATGTTACATGTTAAATGTTATTCCTACAGTATCTGGTTCTAATTATATTACTAGATCTCCAGATCCAGGCTGGTTAGAATTTATGATTGCTGGGGAAAAAGTGTTATTTATTCAGAGAGATGGTAAAACAAGTGACAGAGCAAAAGAAGCAACAAAGAGATGTAGAGCCAGCCATCTGAAGGAGTGGGAGAGAAATATGTTTCTGGGAAATTGCTGAAATAACAATTAAAAAACCTGAGGTTTACCTTTAACTCTCTCCAGATGCTGCTATAGAGTTAGCAGCTTGAGCTCACCAGTTTTGGATATGGACAGTATCGCATATAGCAAAGCCTCAAATAAAGGTCATAAATGTTGTTTAATAAAAATGATTCAGGACAGACTTGTTCACATTCATATCTAACAAATATTTTTTCTTCCTTTCCACAACTTTGTTTCTTTCTATGTCCAGTGAGAGTCGTGTGGAGTTTCTGGGAGGAGGCAGTCTCCAGATCTCTAATCTCTCAGAGGGCGATGCTGGCGTCTACACCTGCATGGCAGAAAACTCTAACGCCACCGTTGAAGCCCAGGCCCAACTCACAATACAAGGTACCCTTATCTCAGATGTACAAGTTATAAATGATGTGTTTTCATTTAAGCTGTGCTTGCCTCTGTCAATACTGTAATAAAAGCAAAAATCAAGTGTAGGAAGTCAGTAAAGTAGATCACGTTACAGGTTTACCTATGATTGTAACTCAAAGTAAACATTTTAACCTATCCAGTAAATTATAAACTACACTGCTGGCCCACTGGTTCAGGGTCCAGTAATTATGTTCATCACGCTGCTTACTGTTTATAGCACAAGTGGATCTGACCATATTTCAGTTTCTCTAATAATATTGATCCCTTTGAGTAACTGGTTTGTGGCAACATCAAACTATTTCAGATCTCCTCTAGTTATTCACACTATGTAAATAGTCTGATTTAAATCATTGGATTGGATCTCCTGTGAGACTTACGCATGATCACAGATATGTAGTTGTATGATTTTCCCAGGTGATGCAAGTCAACAGGATTTGGTGTGAAATAACTTTAGAATGGAGAAACAGCCTGAGGCTCATTCATTGCATCTCACACAAAGCCACATCATTCTGTGACTCCATTCCTTTCTTCCCAAACCCCTTCATCTCTTCATCACCCCGCCACCACCCTTTCATCATTCCCCATCACTCACTGTGATTAAAGGAGACAGTAATGGAAAACTGGATCAGGTCACAAGAGGACATCTTGACTTCACTGGTTTTCCATCTTCAAGTCTGTCTGCCAAAAATCTCTCTGACATACTTCATGTCTCCAACCCACCCTCCACCTCCAGTTTGACCAGTGCACAGGATTGATCTGCACTCCTGAAATATTGGTGAAAGACATAGGTCATTGTAATACAATAAAATGGTTTAGCTCCCATGCTGTAGACCCGTGTTGCTAATTGCATTTGCTTCTTCCTGATTCATGAAGAAATCAGATTTTGCCATTGATTGGCTCTCTTGACAACAGAAGTGACACTTGAAAGGTCAATTGATTCCCTGAAGAAGTACTGTAGTTGCGCTTGTAAAAGACACTCATAGAAATCAATGTGGTATGAATCTATACTAACAACAAAACCATTTTCTCTACGACTGACTCCTTTAAAAACACCTCAGGGTCTCTTTTGCTGCTGTAATATGGAGAAACTGTTTACAGCTAGTGGCTTTTCATAAACAGTGGGCGGTTTAAGCTTAGAGAAAGATGCAGAGAGCCAGCTCTGGATTTGATATGGTAAAACACTGTCAGGTTATGCCTGGAGATAACCTGAGGGACTGTGATGCTGCTGGTCTTATCTGTGGAAGGAGAGATTCAGCAGGTGTGCACACAAACACAATCACACAACCCTGCATACTGATGCCACGCAAGGTCAGTTATGCACTTAGTCTATACACCTGTGAGCATTCACTAGCAAGTGTGTTTATTCACTTGTGCATGGCTTTCAGATTAAAATATTGAATCAGACTTTACAAACATACAATCTGTTTGATGGAAAGTACCAAGAGATTACATGCTCCTAAAGGAAAAGACTGGTGATATTCTATATTCCTGTTATTGTCAATAAACTGCGTAGCCAAGGCTGGATATAGCGTACTCCTTTGTGCCACTGAGCTTTATTGTTGTCCAAAACCTAATGTGATGGTGGGTGGTGGCATCATATGGAGCAGGACAACAACACTTGTGAGAGTCCTGCAAAAAATGAAAATACAAATCAATTAATGAGGCAAAAGTTTATCTAAAATGCCTGCCACTTTGAAATATCAATTTTATTTATGTATATATTCTCTTTACTCTTATTTAAGCAGTGTAGTTGACTAAGAGCACATTCTTATTTACTCTTATCTTAATGATTCTGCCAATCATAATCAGTGAGGTCCCTGATGAATGAGGTGATGTGCAGATTCCTGCTCTTTATTTCACCTGGAACTGGGATTTGCACTTGGAATTTTCAGCATTTACCCTGACAAGGACCTGTACATACAAAAAACAGTCTTAAGTCAACTATGACCACTATTACAGATGATTCTGCATATTGTGATTACCCTTTGTTAGGTTCACTCTTGGTTCAGTCCTGGAGAAGTTTGTGGAGGTGAAGGCACATCCCTGTTGACAAAGTACAATATTTTTCTCTGAAATCTAGTGAAGCTGAAGTATGAAGTAGCAGAAAATGAAAATGCTCAAGTATACAAAATTGTACTTAAGGACAGTACTTGAGTAAATGTACTTAGTTACTTTCCACCTGCTGATAGCTTAACAGTGAATTGTACTGATCAGGAGTTATAGCACCATTAATGCATTAAATCATTAATTTTTTTAAGCCCTGAGAATTTACACTGAGCATGTACCTACTGTACAGCACATTTAGAGGAAACTTCCAGCAAAGACCAGGACAGAAAAGTGATGGTGTGAGTTGCTTTCAGATTCTCTGTAAGATTTCACCAGGGCAGAGCTCAGTAGCAAACACTAAAGGGTTTGTGGCTCAGTTGGCCATACTATCAAAGCAGTTAAATGTTTCTGTGTTGACTATGGACCAAACAACTGAACAAACAAGAATATATAAACAGCTTCACAAGGGATAACTCCAGTGGCTGTCAAAAACAAGCAATAGGTATTCAATAGTAGTGTGTGTCATACACTGTATCGGTGGTGAATACAACCAAAGTGCCAGAGGGATGACAGATTAAAACCATTATGTGTGCAGACAAAACCACAACCTGGCATTGTAGCAAAGCGAAAGGAGAGGCTGGTCTTTTAGTACATTGGCACTCAGGTAGTGTTGAACGGTGTCAGGCTCAGAACAGTAGTGTTAACACTAACAGCAGTGCTTAGCTCACCCTTCCATTCATATCATATCACAGCCACATGCTTGCTTGTTTGTGTGTGTGCGCTTTTCAGTGTGAGTTTGCTGTGGCATCCCACCCTGTGTTAGAGCTAGCAAGAGGATAAATGAGGCCAGAGGAGGCGGTAACGTTTGACTGGTGGTACCACCCAGACCTTGACTCTGTGTGCGTGTTTGCAAGACAGAAATAGTTTCTCCACAAACATGTATATTTCCAGTTCTGTGGGGCTCTAAGGCAGTGGCCCTCGTCTATCACAGCCTCATGCTGTCATGTCATCAGCTTAATTTATCTTTCCATGCGCTGCGCTCACGTGCAGGAAATCCCAGCCCCCTGTAAAGGTTTCATGTATTTCCTATGGGTTGTAAACTCTATATTTATAACCACAGTCAGCAGGTGTGTTTTAATCTTGTTATAGAAATGGACATATAGATACAATATCTCTATAGATATACTACATTTAAGCCAGCAGTTCCACCTTCTTTACTTTTTTCTAGTAAGAAATGGGTTTTTATAAGATTAACCCAGTGAAGTATTTTCACATACACATATTTTGTGCAGCTCAGATTGTTCCACCACCATGTAGAAAAAACAGGTGAATGCAGTTTAACAAAAGCCAACAAATGTGCTGCATCTATCAACATATCAGTTGAAATACTGTAGCTGGGCTCAAAGTTTTTTCAAGCTAGCAACATGAATAGTTTGCTGTAAATGCGTAGAAGAAAATGATGGATTTCATCAGATCTGGTGGCTATTGCAGTCTGTTTATACTTTGGCACACTATCTTCCTGCCCTCCCTTCAGTGTCACAGAATTTGGCTGAGATAACAAGAAACTTTCCATTTAGCTATTAAAAGAATCTGATCAGGAGCGGCACCCACAGGCACACACCTTTTCCCTTTTTTATGTGGAATGTTATCTCACCCAGTGGGGTGAGAGTAGTGTCACTCCTCAGAAAAACTGTTACTCTGGCAATGGGTTTTGTGATGTTCTTTGTGCTGTAGAAGATGCTCATTATTACAGGCATTGTTTGTAATCTCAGGGAAATGTTGCATCCATATGTAACCCTTTAAGTAAAAATGTTTTTACATATTTTTGTTTACAATACCTGAAACATACGTATGTATATATCTTAAACTGGCATTGCCCCTTTTTTAGTGTGGAAGTAACTGGTAGCTTGCAAAGTTACATTTTCAAAGTAGCTCCCCAACACTGTCCACATGACCCCTTAAGTAGATTTCCATTATTACAGATAAAATAGGACCAGTATTTTTACCAATCCAATACTGCATCTCTCTGACCCAATATGTTTCATGTTTGGCCTGGATGAAGAGTTAAACTGTTAGTTGTGTGAAGATTAGGGTGTGTAGTTTGTCAAAGCTCCAATTGCCCTTAGGTTAAGCCCAAGAGCTGCTGTTTAATTTTGAGAAGCTGACTGGACAGTGGCCAAGTTTGCAAAGTAGTAGTGTCATTCATATCAGGATCCTTTAGCTTCAACAGTCTTCCACAAGGCTTTAATATACGAGGCTGTATTCAAAATGCTTGGGAATATTTGTCTAAAAGTCACTTATTCTGATATATTCTAACAAACCATAAATATGGCAAGTCTTAAATCAGTTTTCTTCAGGTTTGTTATTTTAATCCTTCATCATTTTTATCATTACCAACAGGTGGAGGCTGGACTGGTTTTTCCTCTCAGTATGTCTCTATTCATTTTACTCCTGGCTACCGCTGAAGCTTCAAGTAAAGTAATCTGCCTACAATCCCTTCAGGAATCCAGTGGGGTTTTGTTTTAACAAGCTCACAGCAAGATGCACACATGACCTTTTTGTGACTGTCTTTTGGTAGTTCACTGGAGTCAGTGTAAGTCTGCATTAAAGCTTCTTTGACTAAGCTACAGACTAGAGACATAATACTGGCCTCAAAGAACTGGCATCTTAGCTCATTCAGCTATTCCACTTCCTTTTTTAATTTTTTCACCCTCTTGTGTGTATCTGCAGTTTCTTGTTGTCTTTCATTAGAGAGTGGGATTTATATTCCAGTAAACTCAGCCTTGGCATCTGTGATGTCATGCATACACGTCTGTGAAGGGGCATATGAGTGATCAATCACTCATTGAAATTTTTTTTTGTCATTTACTGGAGCAGAAAACCTTAAAAACATTGCAGAGTGTGATATGCTAAGACACCTGGCAATCAAGAAAACCTCTTTACTCCCTTATAGGTACCATGTGCAATTTCATCATTTACAAAAACAATTTTATTAATATTTGGCATTTATCAGTTCAGGATTCGAATTTTTATAAATAAAGCTTACTGTATACATAATGGGACTTTTCATATTTAATATTACGGTGCATAATATTTTTAAGATGTAGTTATTTGCAGGGCCTTTTTGTTGAAGCCTGAATTCCTTTGACCATTTGCACTGTTTACAGTTAATTCCTTCCATTTTAACTACCCTCTGCACTTGGCAGAAATTGTAAACTCGTCACCCCCATGCTTATGGCATTTGTGTGCATTGTAGTGCATGAGCTTTCAGTACTGGGCTATGCAAAGAATACCGGAGCATTCTGATCACAATATTGTTTTACAGCATTACTAGTGGTTAAAAACACCACCAGTTTCTATTGCTGGATTTCCACTATCAGAACCTAATGATCAGGTTTTTCCATTATAGAAACCTACCGAAATGTGTCACAACGAGTAACACTCATCATAGGTTCTGTGTTTTTTTCCACTACACTCGACCTGTTTGAAGGACCACTTTGGGAGCTAAATTTCAGCACCCCTTTAGGAGGTAGTACTAAAATCACGTACCAGGAATACGGGGTGCATGTGCGCAGAGCAGTCGCCAGTGACTGGCTAAATGTCTGCATCTTCAAACCTTAAGCATTAGCATTAGAACCACACAGTTGACTCTGTGTGTAAGAGAGGAGAAGCCCCTCTCTCCTCTAAACAGACACCGACAGCGAGAAAATACATTGGAAAAATAAACCAGGATGGTCCGTGTCAACCCTGAAGGCTATGCTTGGTGATGGTTAAGGAAACTGCAAGGTATACCACTCATTATGTTCCCATAGTGGACATGCAGCAGTATTTCCCATAACCATCACCAAGAATATCCTCCGGGGAGGTAGGAGGGGCTGCTCCTCTTTCACACACAGTCAGCTGTGCTTGTAATGCTAATGCTTGAGGTGTGAATACGTGAACACTTAAGTAATGTGAACAGCTTTCTTGAGGTCATTCCACAGCATCTCTATTGGGTTAAGATCTGGGCTCATTTCCTGCTGCATCATCCAGCTTGCTCTGTGCTTCAGCTTGTCACTCTGACATTATCCTGTAGCATACCTTGATAAACTTGGGAATTAATTTTCCTCTCCACAATGGCAAGTAGTTCAAGTCCAGAGGCAGCAAAGCAGCCCCAACTCATGATGCTCCCTCCACTGTACTTCACTGTTGTGATAATGTTTTCATGTAGGTGTACAGTTCTCTTTTCACACCATATGTTGTGCTGTGTGTTCAGCATAAATTTCCATTGCTATGCAGATGATACTCAGTTTTATTTATCTATGAATCCACATGAATCAGATCGATTGGTCAAACTTTAGGCTTGTCTTAAAGACATAAACTTAGTTATGCTGCTATAGGCCTAGATTGCTGGGGTCCCCCATGATGCTCTGGGCTCCTCTCCTCTCTTATCCATGTATCTATTTGCCACCATTACACGTCACTCACTGTAGCCTTCCCCACTGTAATGGAAACAAACACAGAACCTGTAACGAGCATTACTTGGCACAACACTTTTTTCCTATAATGGAAAAGGCCCTTAAGTTGTACTTGTAATAAGCCACATTTTTGTGAGAAAGAAGTTGGATATTTTCACAATAACTTTGGTGCTGTTGATGGACAGCTGGTATCTAGTAGCACTTGTTAAGGCACTTTTTCTCTGGCCACAGAATTAAGAACACAAGCAGTACTATATAGAATTTAACAGACCAAATTTATTTCTGTTCTGCTGTTCTTTTATTGAACTTTTTATCTCTGTTCTGCTGTTCTGATAATGTTTTAATGCAGGGCTATGTCCCTGCTGATCATCAATTTCAACTAGTCACATTTTGATTTTTACTTCTCTGTTGCCACAAAATCCTTCTTTGTGCATCTTGTTGCAAATGTGGCTAAGTTTACCTTGCATATGCATGATTCATGCTACAACAGCCAATTAAACAATGAGATGTCGAGTCCCGCAGTTTTATTGGTATATTTAAGTGTTTGTACTCGTTGCTCAGTCCAATAGGTTCCAAATGTCTGAACTCCATTTAGAGAAATGGTGCATGGAGAGAGAGAAAGTGAAGCTGGAGATGGAGAGAGAGAGACCAGTAGATTAAGAGATGGGGGTAAAATACTGAGACTGAGTGTTGAAGCTGAGGGAGAGAGAGACAAAGAGAGTCGCAGAGTACCAGTCACCATCAAAATCTTTCTCCAGCAACCTTCACTAGGGAGCTCTGCACACACACACACACACACACGCACACACATACTGACAGAATGACACTGGAATGTGTTGCATAAATCCATATGAATACAATGAACACGCACAGATATGGGGCAGCATGAATGTACAGAAACATATGTTTGCATACATAAAGACGAATTTAGGCACACACTGTATTCTGCAAACAGTCCGCCCATACACATATTGCCTGCAGAAGTAAACACAATCATGCACAGCATATAGCACCAGTAATAATGGAACAAAACAAGTATCCAGACATGTTTAAAATTATTCATGTGCATCCCTGGCTCAGCCATCCATCCACACGTGTATGCACACACAAACACATACACACACACTTAGACTCATTGGTGTCTTAACATCGTGTCCCTGACACACTAAAGTAAACCAAGGATTCCACCTGCTTCTGTTGCACAGCTACTATTCAAATATCCAGGGGACACCACACTGTGAAACACATTATTCACAGCTCACACACACACACCCCTGCAGGGAACACCGGTGTACACACATACACACACACAGACAGGGACATACACAAGCACACAAATGCATACAGAGCAGGGTGATGGCTGTCTTAACAATCCTACAGTGATCCAGTCTACAAAAATTACCCCTCTCATTTCCATCCTTGCCCCAGTAGCTCACGGGGAACTGACATTCATTAAGCAAGGTGAGGGAAGGTTTCAATATTCTGCTGCACTTTCCATTTTTTTTCATGTTTGACCTGTTCTGCTGCATTGTGTGGTTGGAAAAGAGGCATTTGGAAGCCACAAGGGGAAAAGCAAGATGCTGCTCAGTAGGCTGGAGGGAAACTACACACCGGGATACTCCTTCACTATTAAATATGTTTAATTTGTAAAGGTTAGAGAATTGTGTTTTCTACTGTAAGTCTTCAGTTGATGATTTACTTCCAAGAATACATTTAGACAATTTGAGTGACATGCATGGATTTGTAGTTTTTAAAAAACTGAACATGTGGACTTATAAACAGCTATGAAGGCCAGTAGATGAGAACAGTGAACTGTGGGTCATGCTTATGATGTACAACCCCAAGCTAAAGTACAGGTCCTTATTTTGATTGCATAATAATTTACATGATGAGAGTAGAGCAAGAGTCTATTTACATGGTTGCATACACTGATAATTCTCAGTAATTATCCTGTTTACCTGACTATCCAGAAGGGGATGTGGAAATATATTTTTATTACATTTAGCAAAGCAGAGACCAGCCACAATCCTGCAATATCACTTAAAAATGCATTTTAAAGATTAAAAACACTGCCTTTCTAGACAAGCTGAAGATACACACAGCAAGTGCCACTGAGTTTTTCTGCACAGCTTCTTGCTGTAATGAGGCTTTTATCAGAGAATTGTGTTCACAGTGGATTGTTCCTTTAGCGGTTTTTAATTACAAAGAGCTATAATTGGGGAATCTTAATTATCTTGCTGTTGTCAGGATGAAGGCTAATTTCTTAACTAGCAATTTTAGCCACAGCTACATTGACTAGGTGAGGAGGACTTAGACTTAGAGGACCACACAACCTGCTTCTCTGCTGAAGAAAGCCAGCAATGATCGTTTTCCACCCCGCTGCCACTAATATCCAATCAACCCATGTGAATAGCCACAAAATAGATTCTAATAACAAGCTATCACAGAGCCCAGGAGGCTGATGGCAAAGCCTGACACCAGGCGACACACTAACAATGCAGCATTTAAACTGCGGTCAGCCAGGTCACTGCTTATCAGAAAATGCACAGAGGGAGCAAAGGCAGTTGTGCACAGAAATACACACGTGCATACGCACATGCACAGTCTGTCTTACTCTGTCTCTCCACACAACATGTACAGTCCAATTATAGAGAAGGGAAGAGGCCTGGGCCCTGCACTGCCAGTGACCTTGTTCCAGGACAGATTGATGAAGCGCTCTATCGCCCAGCAGATCAAATAACTCCTTTCTGGCCCTCATTACCAGAACTAGGAAGGATCTGCAAGTGCTCAACTTGCCTACTGTGCAGTGGTGTAGCAGTCTAATGTGCCATCCTGGTTCTGGTTTTCATCCAGTTACTTAGTTCTTTTACTAAAATTCCAAGTGTTGCAATCTACTAAATGGTCACAAGTGTATGAAGAAAATAATTAGACAAGTCATTGATAGATGATACTGGGTGTTGTTTTTTCCACCCTCCCTTAACTGGCACTTTGGCAGCTTGAAGGGAAGGCATGTCCTTGTTCAAAGTCCAAATTGCTGGAGATTGAGGAGTCTGCTTGGATTTGACAAATTGGTTACTGAGTTTTATAAGGAAAATATGATTTCTACACATCTCACATCTCTTCATCTCTTATTTGCTTCTTTGCTTTAACCGTTAAGTCATTTCCCGTTTGACAACAGGATGTATTGTCGTTTTATTTTTAAACTTCCCTGATTTCTTTTAATCATCTGTATTCCACAGTTCCTCCCCAGTTTGTCAAGCGGCCAACCAACATTTATGCCCATGAATCCATGGACATCGTCTTTGAGTGTGAGGTTTCGGGGTCACCAGCTCCCACTGTCAAATGGGTCAAGAATGGAGATGCAGTCATCCCCAGTGACTACTTCAAAATAATTGTATGTTCATTTGGCCCTAAAGTGATACCTTTCTACATTTTATGCACAGCAGTATTTTTTATATCATTTGTCTGTGTTTTTCCTTTCTTTTATATTTTTCTTCCTTCCTGTTCTGTAGAAAGAGCACAACTTGCAGGTTCTGGGTCTCGTCAAGTCAGATGAAGGTTTCTACCAGTGCCTTGCAGAAAACGACGCAGGGAACATCCAGTCCAGTGCCCAGCTCATCATCTTGGATCACGGTACGATACTCACTAGGACCACCTACTAGTGTGCAAATCAAATGTCTTGGTTCATTAGATAAAATTTATTCCTATTTGAGAAGGTGACAAAAGCACAGAATTAATAAGATGCTTCACTGATGAAACAGTCAGTGTCAGGAAACGACTGAGCAGCGATCCATATCTGATTAGTTTTGCTCAGACAGTCAAACATTTGGAAACACATATACCTATTTACAGCCATTTGAACATTAGCAGCATTCTTAACACAGTAATCTTTGTGATTATTTATTAGCTTTTAACAGCTATACCTCTTATGAATCACAGTCATGGAGAAAGGCAAAATACACTTTTTATAATTGAAATGCCAAATGGCTTTATATATATGTATATGTGTATGTATATGCAGCCTAGTTTATCTAGTTGTACATTTCCCTTTGAAGCCAAAGGAGGGGTTATACACTAATTCCCCGAGTGGAGCCGCTGAGTACAGAGTACAACAAATCAGATGCCAAAAATAGGGGCTGGAAGCATCAAAGCCAAGTACCTGAAAATAGAAGAAGGTGTAAAATAAACATCATAGTTCTTGAGCTAGTTTTGTTTCGTTACATCTGATCATCGGAGAAATTGTTCTACAACTTAAATTAGACATCAGTTCCAGAGTCATAATAAACATTGTCCCACCCACGGGCTAGGAAAAAACTCACCATAAACAAGAAAACAGCAAGAAATTCAAGACAATAAGCAAGACATAAATTAAGTGAAAAGTTTAACTGAAATAAAACAAGGTGTCAGATGAAGATGAAATGAATCATAAGGGGAATGTTAAAACAACCCCAACAAAGCAAAAATCAACCAGTGCTTTACTGTAGACTCACTCTCCCATTTGGTATACGGAGTTGGTTTTTTTAATCTTACGTGAGCTCCCCCTACTCAAAGCAGGTGGCTAACGGTTGAGCATAGCAGTGTCCAACCGGAGGCTCCCAGCTGTGTTGTCCCCTCTGACTGGAGGACATATAGTCAGATATAGTCATATTTGTGTTTGATACCACTGACAAGGGCTTCCTTTTTATGTTAGAGTTGAAAATAAATTTGATGAATCATTGTGGCAGCTGGCCTTGTGTGCAGCATCTGCCCTAATTGGGCCTTTGAAGAAATAATTCTCTTCTTTAATCCATAAATATCACAGAGAATCTTTTTCGATCTTACTTCTCATGTACCCCCAGAAGGTTTTCTGCTTTCCTGTTTATTCAATGGTTTATTATCCGATTTTCATTTGAGTATCAGATGATGGATCTAGAAGAATAAGGTGCAATTGCGCCATTTATTCTTTCTGTGAGTTATTGGCATTTTTTGCTTGTATAGAGACATCCACTTTAGCACTCTCCACAAATATTTGCTTCAGTGCGTCAAAGTAATTTCCTTTCTCAAAGGTGCCATTCGTGACTCCAAATTGTGAATCGATGAAAACATGTTCATCAGCTCATTTTCTACAGCTGTTTGTGTTTTGTGGGTAAGGCTCTGTGACCTGAGGCAGAAATGGATCTCTTCAAACTCTAGTAGAGCAGGGTGGGATCTCTTTCCTTGGAGTCAGTTCTGTGTTGTATTCTTCTCTCACTCCTCCTGCGCTGCTGAAAACAGACAACACGAGCCATCTGCCACCTTTCTTAGCCATTCCTCTCTCCTCCACTTTCACAGCCACCCGCCTCTCGGTGATAATCCAACACACAAGGCTTTGTGTTAATTGTGCTGACCTGAATACCCCGTGACAGCTGGGCATCTTTGTCCACTTCACAAATGCTCTTTACCGCCCCTATATGTTTCACCTCAGTCAGGTATCCCGCTCACACCTGCCAGGCTTGAATCAAAACACCCTCTCTATCTGTTGACTGCCTTGCAGCCGGGGCAGATAAGCCAGGGACTTGCCACAGGGATAAAGTTGTCTTCGCATGACATGGAAATCAACGTGGGTGAGCTGCATCTAACAAGTTGGCTATTATTCATCAGTAGTCATAATCTGTGCATCTTAACACTGCCAGCTGTAGTCAAATGTAGCTCCGCTGATAATTCCCACCAGTGGGTGTTTGGAATGGAAAAAGGTCAGCTGTCAGCTGTTAGCATACAAACAGTAAATTGGCAGTTATTTATAGCGATAGCTGCTTTGTATCGATATGCTTGGCTTTGAACTCCATTAGATGGCAGTGAGTTATTATATGAGAAAACCACACAGACTGCATAAATTAAAAAAGCTTTTCTATTAAAGTTAATCAGGGGTCATCATGATTTAGTGATTTTAAAATCCTAAACAGGTTTTAGGGGGAGTTGATGTTAAAAAACAGGGCCTCTGGTTGCAGTCAAGGCCAATTTTCCTGACATTCCACAGCCATGTGCAACATGGGTCAAGTAGTTGCAAACAGATGTGGGTAAATAGAAGCACAAATGCCAGAAGTGAGTCTCAATGGGACCTAATTATGTTCTGTAATGCAGGTCAGGTTAGGGCTTTCTAATACTCCTCGTAAAACTGCTACATTCAGACTTGCCATCTTCTGGAGGCACTGGAAGTTTGCGTAGTTGTTAATACTCTTAGTGTGAGTATCACCAGCATGGTGTGACATTTTTTGAATTGACCATGTACAAAATCTAGCTCACATGCAGTGGTGGAAAGTAACTAAGTACAGTTATTGTTTATGCATGATACTGTAGTGGCAGTTACAGCTTGAAGAGGAAATAGCTCATGTTTTTCAACTTTGAAGTTACACGCTAAAATTTATATTTCACTGTGTATATTTTAACGGTTTTATTGTGTGGTTGCTTTTTATATAGTTCTGTAAGACTGAGAGCAGAACCAAACCAATTATTTGGTTTTTAGGAGAGCTGGCTTTTGTTGCCTGCTGAAAGTGGAAAGCTGCATGTAACATGAGAACCAGATATTCATACTGTTAGAGAAAAGATGAAGCACTCTGTTTTTCAGTATTTCACATTTTCGTTTGTGGAAACAAAAACTGAAGACCACTTACCAACCTGGGAACTATTACTGGATTGTCAACAACTGCCAATTTAAAATTCAAGCACTTAAAAAAACTTTAAATAAAAATACACATGGATCTGTATTTAACATTGATAAACAAAAGAGAAGTGGATGGATGCTGCTATTTGCTCTCAAGTTTGTTTTTGCTGCATTGGTTGGAGAGGTGCACCTCCATTTGCATGTGAACAGTTATTTTTACTCATTCTATATGCTGTGTTGGCTTCAACATGGAGAAACTCTTGAGTTTGTCTGTCATTCCATCTCTCCTCTCTCCTCCTCTCCATTCCCACCTGCTCACATGAATAATGTTTAGACATTTTGCCTCCTGGTGCCCATGCCAAGTACTTCACTTAAGAGCCTGAAAACTTTTTTGGATGTATTCTGGGCTGTCGTGTCATTGCAGTCATGACTGCCGCAAGCGAATTTCAGTGATATGATATAAGGGGAGATATTTCATTACATATGGCAACATGGTTTAAAAACATCAGTGATGCTGTGTAACTGAATTTTAGCTACATACCTTATCATTTGGACTGCTATTCCTGGCTGTGATTGAGGTCGGTTTACGATGAAAGACAGATGGCACACTATTTATGATGCAAATTAATTTATTCAAGCTTCTGTTAAATCTAAAACCTAAACAGGCAAGCAATCCTTTTTAATCCCTTCGCCGCCTTTATCTCGTTCACCTTCCCTTACTCTGTTTCTCTTCCTCTCCCTTCACCTTCCCCCTTATCCAGCTGTGCTGCCATTAGTTTTTCCTCCCCCCAAGACCTGTGGCAGTAAACAGAAGAGTCCTGTCCTCCCCTCCCATCAGAGGCACCAGACCCCCACTGAGAGATGCCTCATCACTGCCTGAGTGCTCACTGGGTCTCCTGGTTTTCTTTCTATCACTCAGTATATTTATGAGTGCTGGCATGATAAATTGACATGTGCTGTCCCCATAGCTGTAGCTTGACAAGCTGACAGGCACATGGATATACTGGAAGGGATATTTAGAGAGTCACAGATACCGTAACTTCATTAGTGAATCAATTAACTCACTTGGCACCGGCAGTAACAGCTGAAAGTAGGTGCAACCACTGAACCTTATTCGCTTTGATCTGGCCCAAGACATTTAATACCTAATAAAGATTATGCCTCAGAAAGCTTTCAGAAGTCAGGAAAATCCAAAGTTTTATTTAGATGTTGAAATGGACGTTTAAGGGCTCTTTGTTGTTATAGTAATAGTAACTGTTTATCTATAAAGACAGAACAAAGAGTGCAGCCAGCAAGGCCTTTTATTTAAAAAGAATGAAAGCAGTTACAGTTTAGGTGTCTTGAGTCAAAGAGTCAGACTTCAGTGAAATATTAACCTGTGAGAAAACTATTGCTAAGAAACAACTGCACCATAAAAAATACAGACTACTTGACCAAAGCCATTATAGCCTGCTGACTATAAGCTGACAGTCTGGTTGCCTAAAACAATTCCTCTTACACTGTGAAGAACAAAAGGCAGAGAAGGTGCCAAAATCTTCCACCGTTTATTCAAAATGTTGTACTATGCCTAGAGAGACATGATTTGTCCAAACATAACTGATATCTGCAGTAAATGTGCAACACAGACACTCAAATATTGAATATCTTTGTTATTGTTTTTACCCAAGCAGTGATTATTTTCAGACAAACTATTGATAAATATGAGAGATGGGACCATAGCTGCTTAGATCATCGTGCCGACATGCAAACAAGAAGGATTTTATGTACAAATATACTGTATTTTGATGCTTCATTGGTGTTCTCTCCTAATACAAATGAAAACTACTTAAATTAAAATTGAAAGTCAGGACAAAGATAAAGAGGAGGTCTCTGCTGTCCCAGCACTGCTGCCTGTAGCAGCTCATGCTGCTGTTGAAGAAAGAGATTCACTTTTTTATGAGTACATCTAATATAAAATGTAACTACATCATAATTAAACAAGAAAGAAACTGAGTTGTGTTGAGCTTAAGTAGAC